GGCCTATTTTTAATATGATCATTTATGTTCAATACGTTGGGATGCTCATACGACTGTGAGCCAAGTGTTTGTATTTTCAGATTGTTTTGTACAATCTAATACAAAGGCAACAACTAGAAGGCTGGAATCAAACAATGCAAACTCACCTAAAAGATTCAAACCTACTCTGGAAACTGCTGAATCGAAACTGAACTGAATCCAATCTGATGAAAAATGTAAAACTTTAATGCTCCACAGCTTTCCAAGTAATTGTGAACTTTACCTTTTAACTTTACCACCTCTGTAACATCTCAGCACAACGCTGTTGCTCTGACATGCTAAACCTTTTTGTTTCCTTAGAGCTGCTGTTGAAGCTGAGGTGTTGTCTGGGAACAGTGTGTGGGATTGAATGGTATGGCTACGCTGCTCTGGGTATTTTGACTGCCATCCTCAGTTTCCTCATGGACCTCAGTGTAGCGAAGCTGCTGCGAGGTGGATAGACACACACACACACACACACACACACTAGGTAAGCAAAGCACACAAATAATCAGTGCTTCTCTCTCGTGTCTCTTGCAGCTCACCAGTGGCTTTATACGATGCTGGAAGGAAATGTTTTGCTGCAGTTTCTCTGCTGGACTCTTTACCCAGCATGCATTTGTGCCATTGCATCATCATTCTCCCACAACATCTGTCCTTTCTCCACAGGTCTGTTGAGCAACAAGCAGGAAACATGATTAGTTCAGGTGTTTTTTTCACAGGCTGTGCTGCTTTTCTCTGTATTCTGAGAGCATGGCATTGCAACCGTCCACAGGTGAAGAAAGAGGGAATTAGTTTTTATTTTAGGTCTCAAATCTATCTTGGTTAGATTGTGGCTTGGGGGATAGTGACCACACACTACAAACAAAGCTCTAGCAGAAAACACCCCTTCCTTGAAACGTTCTTCAGTATGCAATTTAGTTCTGTGAGAACATTTTTAATCAACAAGCTTACCTAATACAAAGGTGTCCATGTCAAAACTGAAAGAAAAAAGCAAAACTATTTGTGTCCAAAGATGATGTTTATAACTAAAAAGACTTGATTTTTCTTTACAACTCGTATCATCAACGCCTCATAATGCCTGTAGATTCAGACTCGAATGTATTTATATTATTTATACTATTTATTTATACTTTTAATTCAACTTTAACATAAACATACAGAACAATAACGCTAATGATATAGAGGTCTCAAACACTTGTTACATGGTTAAAAGTCAATAGAAAGTGATTATTATTGTGAGCAACAGGAACTACTACAGCACGAAAAACTCTCCATATATTTACATGCAAACCTGATTATTGTTGTAAGACAGACTTGGAAAAATTGTGAGCCCATGCATTAAAGCACCAGTTTTTTTTTAGATGTGACAGCTAAGCAAACACTGAGTCTCTACCAAATGTGGATGTGTGTGAGCTAATGAGTATTGCAGTAGCAAGCTTTTGCCGTTTATTCACTTACAAGTGATCATCACCGTGGAAGTTATGTAGTGTTTGGCTACAACATGGCATAAGATTAGAAAGGCTAATTATCAAAGATGATTTTGTGCGGCCCCATTGTAACATGAAAGGACATTAAACCCTTTTATCTTCATTATAGTCTTAGAAAAAAGATAAATGAGCACAAATGAATGTGAACATTCATTTTTCATCACCCACTTTTTCTCTTGGAAACGTCTTTCTGTCTATCTAAAATAAATGGTATTGAAAAACAGTCAAATGAGATATGAAGAAGTCAACTATGATATTAGCAGTCTCAGAAATCTTGTATGAAGGATGTAGGATAAAGCATATCTAAGGGACTATGTGTTCTATCTGTCCTCCGTGCAGCTCTGTACTGTAGCCCACTGGCCCCTCTGGTCTCTTACTTGCAAACAAAGCAAACAAGAAGACATCTCAGCTGAACCATAAAAAAGGAGAAATTGGTTTGATTTATGCAACCAAAATCCCCCCTGTGCAGATATAGCCATCTTCAGCTTGCCTGTTTTGTGTTGATGGTCTTTTTAAGTCCCAAAGAAATCCTTGCCTTGCCGTTCCCCTCTATTTAATTATTCAAAAATCATTCTTGCGTATTCACCTATAATAGTCTTTTTTCCCTTTGTGATTGCTTTTGTACCTCAAACTCAGTCAAAACAATCTTGTTTATCTTCTCAGGCTCAGGGATACCAGAGGTGAGAACCATGTTGGCGGGATTTGAAATGCCGCATTATTTGTCTCTCACTAATTTGTTTTCCAAGTTCTTGGGCCTTATCTGTACACTGGCAGCTGGCAGCACTGTTTTCCTGGGCAAAGTGGTAAGATGACTCAACATGTCTTTTTTTTAATCAGAATGCGCAGCAGTAATGTAATCATTTTGCTAATGGTGTGTTTTCTGATTTGTTGTGACGGTTCTGTATATTTACCTCAAAACATCAGGGTCCATTTGTGCATCTTTCCACCATGGTGGGAGGTTACCTGAGCAATCTCTGCACTCTCATACAACGTGATAAGAAGGTAAAGCACAGAGAAGTAACTAAAAAGGATGCTGCACATTAAAACAGTCTGTGTATGTTAGAAATAAAGCACATTTTAATTCAACTTTTTTGATATTTAAGCCCAGAAACCTTGCAGTTAAAAAAAAAGAGAAAAGCTTTGATAAACCCCTTATATTGCACATCAAGTACCAAACACCAGGCAAACAAAGCCAGAGATGATTTAGTGGCACAGCTGAAGCTCAGGTGTTAGAGTAGGTAATCTACCAATCACAAGGTCATTGGATTAATCCCTGACCCCTCCAGTCCACCAATCCAAGTGTCTTTGGACAAAATACAGAACTTTTACTTGTCTCCAAAGCAGTACGTGTGCTTAGGCCTAAATAAATGTTTGATCGGGTGAATGACACAGTTGAGTGAGACAGAAAGTTGAGTGCTCAGCATGAGTGGAAAGGTGCTATATAAATCCATTTAGTGGCTAAAATGACAGAGATTTAGAAGTTAGTAAAAAACTAAAGGAGTGTGAACTAGGGCTGCCACGATTAGTCGACTAGTCACAAT